ATAATGAGAGAATGTGATCCCCACCACATGGAAGGAAAACATGTCATATTTTAGAAGTTTGTGGCTAACCGCTATTTAAAACAAGACTACAGACCCCAAATGGAGTCACTTATGCTAAGCCCCATGTCCCTACACTAAGACGTAATTACAGTTTCAGCTCTCCGCAAAATGGAATCTTAAACCAGTCAATCAGGAATTGCCTGATCATGAGGCCAGCTCGGTGGCGTAGTGCTTAAGTTCCCCCATTCTTCTTTGGTGACCCGGGGTTGGCAGGTTCAAATCTTGGGCAAGGACTTTCCCACCGCTTATCAAGGCATGCTGTGGCAGGCGTCCCACATAACCTTGAGGAAGATGGGCACAGATGTTAGCTCAGGGCCAATCTTCCTCAGCAAAAAGAGGAGGATTGGCAACGGATGTTAGCTCAGGGCTAAACTTCCTCACCAAAAAAAAAAAAAAAAAGGAGTTGCCTGATCAGCATTAGTAGTTAGGTGATCTGCCTGACAGATCCCTGCCATCCCATAAAGGAAAGTAACCTTGCAATAACCAACCCTCTTTTTTGTGTAGTGTAACTTCCTTGTTCCTGCTCCCTTCTACCTATAAAAGTCTTTGATTTCGCACAGCTGCTCAGAGCTCCTTTCTATCTGCTAGATTGGATGCTGCCCAATTTGAATTGATTTTTGCTCAAATAAACTTAAAAATTTTTTAATATGTCTCAGTTTACATTTTAACACTTCTGGTGTCAGAAGAGGGAACCAAAGGAGACCCCCGAAGACCCCCAGGAGCGATGAGCAACGAGGCTAGGTACCTGTTGAGCCCCTTGGGCTCTCTGCTTTCTCGCTGTCTCTGGAGGTGGTAAGTCCCTCTTAGAGTCTAGCTTCACAGCTTGTGAGTTATGAGCTTTCAGACTTGGAGTATTTCTTTCTCCAGATCAGGTCCGGAAACTGGCTAGAGTCAGACTGGGTCCATCTTAGAAACCGAACTGTTTCCAGGGTTGGACTGAGTCTGACTTGGGCTGGACTGGGTCCAGTGTGAGGCCTCAGGTGAATAAAATTTTGTTTTAAGGTTGAACAAGCAGCTTATCTTAACAAAGATAATCTTGAATTACAGTAACCAAAGTGGAGAAGTTTTCACCTAGATAAGCTCATCCGTTTATGAGGCGCCCTAGAGAAAAAGGGGTCTCAGCCAAGCACCCACCATAAAGGGTCAGGAAAATTGTGTTTCCTCCTCCACACTGTCTGGTGACCAGGATAAGACCTGCTGGGACACCCACTCACTCCCGAGCCTATAGATGGGATCTTGGGAAAACTGGCAGAAGCTGGCAAAGGGTAAGAATTCTTACCAAAGTCCGCTCTCTCAGATCTCTATCTGTGCCGCCTGGTAGAGAAGGGAAGATAAAATTTCAGTTGTCCCTTCTTTTCCAAATTCAGATTGGCAGACACAAAACGTCTGTAAGAACTAGATCTTCCAATTGTGACTCGTGAATTTGCCTTCAGGTTCCCATTGGTTGCCCGTCCTTTCTCTCCAGGGACAGCTATTGGTTTCTCATTTGTCTCGTTTTCTGTCCTGAGAACTTGGCTTGGCAACCATCGGGTTGGGGACCCCCAAAATACGGCTGGACAGAAGTGTGGATTACACTCCATTTGTGGCTGGGGTCCTAGCAGCTGTGGCCAGCCTTCAGGAGAATTGTCGAAGTCTTTCTTTTGGTTTCCTTTGGGGGTGGCTCTGGATCTTGGGTGGGTAGTATCTTTTGCACCCTCTTTGGGGACATCTAGTGCATTCAAGGATTGTTCAGTATTGCCAGGGATATTTACTGTTTGTGCCAGCTGAAACCTGACAAGATATTCGAAAGAATCTTTTTTTTTTTTTTAAGTAGCCCTATGGTCAGAAGTTGGCCAAATTGGAGTCTGATAGCCAGAGCCTGGTAGGAAAATGTTTTTCCCCTAAGCTAAAATGAAACTATATACCTAAAGAGAAAGAAAAACAGTCTGAAGGCTTGGTGGAAGGATTTAGTAAAACATTCCAAAGACACATAGCTCCAAATCTAGAACATAGGACTCTTAATTTCCATCTCAGTTGAAAATCTTCTCCCTGATATAAAGAAGCAAGTTGAGGATAACATAGTCGGGTTGGTGGGGCAGCCTCCATGTCATTCAGGTTGCAACTCAACTCTTTGAGGAGTTAAAAATACCTCCACTTATTTACAAATCAAGTCCTTATAGGAACAGAAATGCGGCTCTAGAAACCACTCAAAGCCCACCTGTGCTTTTTGCCAATCCCCAAACTTCCCCTCTACATCTCAGAAGGCTTGCAGATATTGCAAAAGATCTGGACTTAAGGAACAAAAGCCCTTCTTGGTGGAACTTGCACTTTTTCTCTATGTCTTTTGCGATGTAAGAGTTCTACCTGGTTTTCTCTAGGAACCAAGGTAATTCTTATTAGAATTGGGGGTAATAGCTAATAATAGCTAACATTTATTGACCACTTATTAAATGCCAGGCACAGACTAAGCACTTCCACACACAAGATCATTTCATCCTCACCCTTGCTCACGTATAAAGACTCCAAGAGAGCATGGAACTTTGTCTTGTTCCCAACTACATACCCAATATATAGAACACAAAAAATATTCAAAACTATCTGCTGAAGGAAGGAATGAATCAATGATGGAGCAACAATCCTAAAGCCCCGTGATCTGCATTTGACCACTGCCCGAAAGATGGATACAAAAAAAATTCACACTTCATCTGGTGTTCTACCTACTTCTCACCAAAGAGTGAACTTTGAGAACAAATGAATTTTTAGGATTTTTTAAAGCTAGTATTGTTTTGTCTTTCAGTTATTTTTTGTGCCTTATTTTGTGACTTGAAAATTTTTTTAAAAATCTTTTTGCTTTTCCATTCTGATTCAACAGCTCTGGAGGACTTATCCCGACAGTCTAAGAGTCCACACGCTGGAAAGGTATTATTGATTTAACTAGGGGAGGGGAGACAGGCGAGAGGCCAAGCAGGAGGAGAAGAGAAGATCTTTTCATTTGCAGGCCAGGGTCCTGCAAGTTAAGAAAACCTGTATTCCCCAGGGACAGATATGGAGGCTGGTGGGGGTGGGGGCAGCACACCAAACCCATTTTCTCCTTTCTCCTTGACCCGGTTCCTCTCTAGTGGTTCATAAACAGAGAAAACACCAACGGAAACCAAGCAGGACAAAAATAGTCCTCAGAGCTCAGTGAAGGACATACAGTAACTTTTGTTTTCTGTCAAACAGCTCATGAGGGGCTGGATCTATTTTTAAGTGGTCATGGATTCTGCTTAGCAGTGAACGTGGTGTTTCATTTTCCAAGGGAAAGTGAATACTATTCTTCATGAGGAGCCTATATGTCAGGCCTGGTATTGAATAATTACTGGACTGCTGAAAGCTTCCAAGTAGGATTTCGCCCTCCACTATACCGCTTGGCTCATGTTCCCATTTCAGCTACTTTAAGCTCTTGTAAACAGCATTCGTTTTCCATTAGAGGCTAGGAAATGTGACTGTGCAGCAACGGTGCCCGGTCCCTGGAGAGGGCCTGCCAGGAGGCCGTTTCCTCGCGTCTCATTTTAGTTTGTAACTCGCTGGCGGGGTTGAGTAATTGCTGAAGCTCCATATCTTCCCATCCTATTCTATTCCACTAACTTATAAAACAGCCAGCGCCCCGCTTGAGGATTAGCGGATCAACCAGATGTTTCCTGAGCACAGACAGCGTGCATTTCCCCTTGCACATCATCTTGTGAGAGGGGAGGGCTGGCAGGGCGCTCACCCTGGCTGACGTCATTGGGCGAGGTAGCCTGGGGGAGAATTTCAGAGCCCAGCAGCTTGGCCAGGGAAGAGCTCAGCTGGCAGCTCTGAGCTGGGTTTAACTGACCCACATAACTAGGGAGAGGGAATCAGCAGTTGAAGTGTGTTTATTCTCTGGGAGGAAGCAGCCCCTCCACTCCCTGAGTATCCATGGGCTGTGGGAGACCTTCCTCAATGGCGCCACATGCACGTCCACCATATTGCTTCTCATCCCAGCTCCTTGTTTTCCCTGACTTTGGCCTGAAGTTGAAGTGTGACAAGCTCTGTTGATTTCAATGAATAATAATAAAATAATATAATTAATAATAATAATAATAATAAATAGCCGAATCCTTCTTCCCCAAACAACATAGGGGAGCTCAAATCCTAAAAAAGTCCATGATTTCAAATCATCTCCTTATAGATTACTAGCTTGTCAGATTCAGGGTGTTAAGAACCAGTAAAATAAAATAAGTTTTTAATATAGGGCACATAGACCTGGAATTGCCAGCTTACTCCTAGAAAGGTCATTAAAAGTAAATCAAAACAAACAAATAAATAAATAAACAAATAGAATGTTCCATTTACTATGACATCTATCACTATGATTTCATAAAAGAAAGGTTTGTTTAATCTCCTTTGCTCAAACCTCTCCAAGGAATTTTCTTCACTCTCTTAATCAAATCCAAACTACTCAGACCTAAAAAGTTCCATACCTAAGATCTGGCCCCTGCCTACTTTTCAAGCTTCACTTCTCCCTTTTCTTATTCCTCTCCAGCCTTCTCTCTGTCCCTCAAACACGCCTCGGTCTTTGCATCTGCTGTTCCCATCGTCTGGAATGCTCTTCCCCCAGATCTGTATTCGGCGTACTGTCTGTGGTAGGCAGCTTTCTGACAGGGCTCCCAAGACCCAGCTCCTGACAGTCATGCCCTTGTGTAGTCCCCTCCCCTGTGTGTGAGCTGGACCCAGTGACTTGCTTCTAAAGAATAGAATAGAATAGACTTGCTCTCAAGAATAGCAACAGTGATGGGATGTCACATAGAGATTAGGTTATAAAAGACCGTGACCTTGTTCTTGCTCAAGTCTCTCTCTGGCTCTTCTCGCTTGCTCTGAGGAAGCAAGTTGCCATTTATGAGCTGCCCTATGGAGAGGCTTATCTGACAAAGAACTGAGGGTGGCCTCTTGGTCAACAGCCAGTCAGGAACTGAGACCCTCAGTTCACCAGACCGAGAGGAACTGAATCCTGCCAACAACCTCCTGAGTGAGATTGGAAGCAGATCCCTCCTGTCGGGCTTTGCAGTGACTGCTGTCCCAGAGGACACCGTGATTGCAGCCTGGTGAGAGACATTGAGCCAGAGATGCTGGAGCCAGCTAAGCCAGGTGCCAGACACACTGAAACTGTGAGATAATAAATGTTGTTGTTTTAAGCCAATAAGTTCTGGGGAAATTTGTTACACAGCAACAGATAACCAGTACACTGCCTCAGTTTATTTAGATCTCTGCTCAAATGTCTCCCTCTCCAAGGTAGTCTCTCACCTCCCAAACAAAACAAAACAAACAAAATTGATCACACATTATTCTCTAGCCCCTTACGCATCTGTATTTTTCTTCATGGAAATGATCGCTACTTACGTTTACATTATATATTTATTTATTAGCTGGCTTTCCTACTAGAATGAAAATTGAGTGAACACCATCTCTGTCATTTTGCTGGGGCGTAAGAGGAACATATATTTGCCCTGATGGTGCTCAAGTTTATTTGACAAATAGTTATGGTAGGGCCACTATATGCCAAGTCTGGTAATTACAGGTTATTTGTTCCTGATTCCCTGGTATACGGACCAATTAATTTTAGTCTCTTGGCTAATCTTTTCTTTTTTTTAGCTGAGTTACTCTGTTTTGGTAATGCACCTTTCTACACCTTTAACTGAGTATTTGATTAAAATGGCATGTAGGATGGAGTCAAGGCTAGAGCTTGTCTGTGCTCTGCTGAAGTCCACTGTTGGATGAGTGTAATTATTTGAAAAGTTCTTACTTCACACTGTGCTGAAGTCTAACTTTCTGCTACTTTGATCTATTGACCTTAGCTTTGCTCTCAGAAATCATAAAGAATGCATCTATTCCTTTTCCACAAGCCCCATTCTAATTGCTCTATTAACTCCATTTCCTTAGGTATACATGCTGCTTGTTGAATTTATTGTCTCTTTTTTATGCTGTAGATTTTTCTTGGGTGTTTGGTGTTTCTTCATTTTGTTCTCATCTTTGTAGTTGAAATTGTAAGTTCAACTTTCTACTTCCTTAAAAGGAGGTGTGAGAACTATCGCTGTGGCTCACTCTCCACCCGGTTTCCAACGGGAGTGGTAAGGCCCATGGTGCCATCGGCCATGCCTCCAGGGATGGTCTCTTGCCTCAGCAGTGCCTAGGAACTGCTCTGTCTCAAGCTCCCACGTTCACTATTCTCATCTCAAGGTAGATTCCTTTACTTCTGGAGTGTGTGTGTGTGTGTGTGTGTGTGTGTGTGTGTGTGTGTGGTAGAGAGTGGTTCATTGGCCTGGCTCTCTCCTACTGTCACGAGAGATACCAGAGGTAGACTATGTCTCAACATGGATCATCCTTGTTGTTCCCGTCTTTGACAACTGCATTGAGTCCTGACCTCCACCTTTCTCTACAATTTTCTCTCATCCGTTTCTGTTTGTTTCTAGACCACGAAGTGTAACAATTCTTATATCCAATCCTTATGTTTTAATTCTTATGTATGTATTTATTTACATATATTTTGCATATTGAAAAATATAAAATATGACCATTTATATTTTATATTCATAAATGTAAATGTATATATATTTAACTTAGCTACTATTCTGAAACCATTACCTCTACTTCCATTTCAGCCCTTCAAATATTTAAAGATCATTATCATATTCTCCTTTGTTCTCTCCTCCTTAGCCTGCATCCCAGTTTCTTTAATGATTCTAATCTACAATAATTTTCTGACTCCTTATCACCAAAAACTCCCTCCTCTCTTCCTGTTGAATAAGCTCCTATGTAGAGTTTATTCAATAGCTCTGTTATGACTCCCAGTGTTGAGAGGAATACTCACAGTACAGGGGGACAATTACTTCTTGTAATCTATATTTTTTTCTGTTAATGCTAAGTCTGGTTTATCTTTTTTGTTTTTTATTATTTTGGAGAGGAAGGTTAGCTCTGAGCTAATATCTATTGCCAATCTTCCTCATTTTTTGCTTGAGGAAGATTAGCCCTGAGCTAACATCTGTGCCAATCATCGTCTATTTTGTATGTGGGATGCCAACATAGCATGGCTTGACAAGTGGTGCAGGTCCGCACCTGGGATCCGGGCCGGTGAGCCCCGGCTGCTGAAGCAGGGTGCGCCGCACTTAACCAATACGCCACGGGGCCAGCCCCTGGTTTATCTTTTTTTAACCACATATTTATGCTACTGGCTTATAACAATCAATTTCCTTTCCACCCCTCTTCCACATTTTAAAGTATATGAACTCTGCCAAGCAACAGCTCCCCCATCCTCTACTTGTATAATTGATCACTAAACAAAATGAAAGATTTCACACTAATCTCTAACAAGTTTTACCGTGTTAGTTTTAACTTCTCCACACCCTTTTGTTGTGCATGTCGGGATATGCAGAAAGACTAGCTTCAGTTTATTCTTGTCTTTACCAAACTGACAATCCTCTAATATATGGATCCCTGGTAAATTGTGATTCCTTCCATCTATAGAACATTTGCTCCTCTATTATTAACTTAGCAGGGAGCATACTATATTAGGTTTTTTGGCTGAAGCTCATTTTTACTCACTGGGATTATGTTATCCATTCATTTAATAAAGATTTATCAAGGGCCCACTTTGTGCTGAGAACCAAGCTGGGTGTTGGCTATACAGAGATAAACAAACAGACATGGTGCTAAATCTCATGGAATTTATGGTACAGTATTTACACATTTATAATTATTTATAGGTTTATTATTATATTTATAATTGCTAGTGATTATACAGTCAGAATTTTATTTTTTTAAAAAGTACCAGTCCTGAGAAAGTAAAAATAGCACAATGTTAATTGTAGAATCTAGGTGGTGGGTAGATGGGTGTTTTTTGTACAATTCTTTCAACTTTTCTGTATATTTGAAATTTTTCGTAATAAAATGTTAGGGGAAATTTGCCTGCTTCACAAGCTATATTTCTTTTATAGTCCTCAGCCATGGAATTGTACATATCTCTCGGTCAAATTCTTTGGATTGTTTTACTTGCCTTTTATGAACTTCAGGATGCCACAGCCTCTTTCTCCTAGGGTTCTTGGGAGAAATGTCACATAATAGAAAGAACACTTGCATTGGAGGTGGACTAGGACTCAAACTCTGAGCCTAGCACCTATTGGCTCTGGGCCCCCTGACAAATCACTGAACGTCTCTGAGCCTCAATTTTTCTCATCCCCAAAATGGGGGTAATCATATTCCCACCCCAAGTTGTTGTGAAAACTGAATAAAACTATGTACAATCACTTAGCATATTTAAAATGCATCCTGCCCCACTTCCACCACTTTCTCCACTTATCTACCTTCTGCATTATTTCCTTCCTTATGAATCTGAATTAAGTAGTTAATACCCATTCATGCTGTTTTCTTCCTTTATCCTTTGAAAAATAAAGTTTGTAGAAACTCAAATCCATGACGTATTTCTAGATGCTATTATTTAGTAAATACGGTGTGAGAAGATATAAATTCATCCAGCATTGCAAGTCTCCTCTTTTTTCAGGTGGGATTCTGTTAAGGGAGTGCCCTTCACATCCTGACTGGGTGGTTGAAATTGCTGCTACGTTGCAGATGCTTTCTTGCCAATTCCTGTCTTGATTTAGGATGTTTATGCTATTGTCTGTGTGTCCTGATTGCTCTGTCTGCAGGGTTATCTTTCCCCTTTGAAACTGCAAAAGGAACCTGTGTTTCCTTCTAGAACAAGTTCAGTGCTACATCCTCCAGTGAAAGCTTCCTGAATCCCTTCCTCCAGCTTTTACTCGTCATGTTTCCATGGTATCACGCCATAGCTCAGTAAAGCTTAAATAGCTTACTACTAGATGGTAAGCACCGTGTAGCCAGAGAAAAGCACTCTTTCATCTTTCTATTCCCAGCGTACGGGACTGGGAACACCCGGTAGGCACTTGATAGAGATAATTCATGGATGCTTGCACAAATGAATGACCGGAGTTCATTTTCCCTGGGTCTCAGTTTATTCCTCCATGAAATAAGAGATAACCAGGTGACTTCAAGAGCCTATTTGAGCACTGAAATGCTATGATTCTTAACCTTTGTATTATGTTACTCACATGCGGTATACCTTTTTCATTTCAAGTATTTGTCTTAATGCCAGAGCTTTCTGTATGATCAGAAGCTTCTTGATTTTTAAGCAACTGGGATTTGGATGCTTATACATCCCCTTTCTCTGACTCTTTGCCTTAACTGCACCAAGGATATGGCTGAGTTGATGTTCCTAACCCGTCCCTGACATATCCCCCACTCCAAACAAAGATACATCTCTCCATCGCCTTTACCTTTCCATTTCCCAGATTACCTGGCTTAGAACATTCCTTCTGTCCTGTGGCCTAACTCTGAAGGAGGTCGAGTGGATTCACGTATCCTGGAGCCTGCTGGGTCCTGGGATAAGTATTAAGATGATACTGACTCTCTGAGTCTCAGATCCTTTTGTCCTCCAGTGGCTGCTGACTTAGGGTTACTTGGAAACATTTGCATTCTATCCTTCTACGATATGGTGAGCCCCCTCTGATTATTCCAGAGAGTCAGCCACACTCACAGAGGACGAGGACGCAGGTCAGGGAGGTGCAAGACCTCATATTTCACCCGTCTCTCCTCACCCTTTAAGTTCCAGCCACGCCAAACATATTTTATATTCTCAATGCTCTACAGTCTTATTCGTCCCTTTTCCCTCTCCTGGACACACTTTTCAAATCCGCTCTACCTTCTTAGCCTGCTAAAGCTTATTCATCCTCCGGGTCTCAGTTGAAAATGTCTCTTCCTACAGAAGGAGTTTCCTTATTCTACTGCTATGACACTGCTTGGTGATTGTCTGATTATTCGTGTGATTTCTTCACTGAACTGTAAGTTTCCTGTGGGAGAAGATGCCATATTTCTTGTTCATTGTTGTATCCCTAGAGCTTAGCACAGTGCCTGACACCTAATAGTTGCTCAATCTGTATTTATTGGATGAATTAATGAAGGTAGTAGTCCCTGCTCTCATGGGGATTGAAATGTTAGAAGACGCACAAGATAAGCACACAAATAACCAGTGTATTAATGCC